CCAAATCTAGAACCTTAGGTAAGTCTGCTATCTTAACAGATTTGGCTTGATCCAGTATTATGCTCCAGACCAACTCCATTTGAACCCACTTCCCATACACCCCCCAGGTTCCATCTGGTAACCAAGGATTAATATCCTACAGTTCTTTCAGTGAGTGAACTATCTCCACAACAACCTTTGCAGGTGTCTCCCAGAGGCACACTGAGGTGTGACACAATGACAGGAGCTGGGAGGGTGTCACCTTGAAGAGACAGCATGCCCTAGCCAGGTGGACTCCAGGGAGGTTAGTGAGAGGACCTTCTGTAAGGAAAGGCTCTTGCCTCAGATGGCGGGAGGCCATCAGCCATTTCTCAGGACAAAGCAGCTTAGAGAGACTGGGGTTAAAGGTTCTCAGGCTTCCTTCCAACACTCCCTAGTCCCATGCTCAGGACCCTATTCTTCCAAGTCAGTAGCCTGACTTCACTCAAAACTGAGGTTCCAAGTTGAATTTCTGCTGCTAATTATGTACCAGGCAGGCCAGTCTGACAAGCAGCCCTATCTGCTCAGAATAAGAGGATCTCTTTGGGTTATCAGGGAAACTGGTTTTCTGACTGAGTTTGATCTGACATTTTAAAGGCAGAGTTTTGACTTCCTGAAATCTCTCCATTGCAATCAGAAGCTGGCCCATTCCACAAATCTGTGCTCACCCCTCCCACTGTGATGGCCACAGTCTTGGTCCTGCCTTCAACAGACATACCATACAATGACTGGCAATCATTTAAATAGCTATTTGCCAAGGCACACTGTAGTGAGACCAACTCCAGCTTCCTCTGCGTGTGTATGTGTGCACACATACTCATACAAGCTTTTAGGCTCACTCCAGGAATCAAGTCCACATATTCAGCACTCGGCCAGAAAGGCAGTGTGAGGAGGGCCTGAGGCCTGAAGCCTAAGCAACTTTGAATATTCCATTTTGAAACCTACAGTCTCACCAGGCACACCTAGGGAGCCCTCCAGACACAAACAAAACTCAGAGTGAAGCCCCCGGCAGACTGTCCTCTCAGATAAGAGGGAAAGGTGAAAAGATCAGGGTGGGGACCACCAGACCAGATGTTTTAACCCCAGGGTAAATGATGTCACTGGTAGCTGATAAGGATTGAAATGGGGGTCAAAGTCCCCAAACTTAGTATAAATAATAGAGTAAATAAACAGACATTCAGCCTGCTGATACTGATGCACACAAGCCTGAGAGCCTGGTGAGGACTTGGACTGACATCCCTACTCTTCTCATCTGCCTGAATCTCTGTGTAGTTCTCATCGCTCTCAAACTCTACAGCCACATCTTGACCCTGGTGAGTCGCAACTTCTCCCTAGGACATGGTCTCCTCAGCCAGCCATCAGCTCCACCCCAGGAGAAGCCTGCCTTGGTTCCAGACCTGATCACCGCAGTCTTGAGTGTGCACATCTGCTGGACTTCAAGACTAAGGCTGGAGACTTTTGATCTGACACTTGAACTTAGCATTCAGAGAGAATGTTTGTCATGAGCCTGTCATGATTGTGTTTGCAGTGCTTGGAATTAATTAATCTAGAATTATTTGCTGTGAAATGATTATGTTTATTGCAGTGCCTAGCATTAAGGATTGTTGCTTTCTTGATTAAGAACCTATAGAGTGAAATTGTATTGAGTGATTTGAGTGACTAAAGCATTGAAAAGGGCAGAAGGCATGGACATTCTTTATTTCTCCCCCTGGACTGCATAAGTCGCATGAGACTTTTGCCCATCGCAACATGCAGACACTTCTCCATGTATTTCTAACAGGGATCTAAAGCCAAGAAATGTTTCCAAGGATGCTGGAAAAGCTGGAGAGGCTGTAGGAAGGAGAGGAAGGTGTTGGGCACCCAAGGGAGAAGATGCTACCTGGAGGTCAGAAGTGGGTACTGCCCCTTGCCTGGAACCTTGTAGCCTGCATAGCTCAAGCCCTACCCAATCTGGTGGCACTCACTGTTACCCCCCTATAGTCAGCACCTGTGCCAGTGTCCTCACCAGCAGATAAACAATGCTTCCTCCTCCATCCCCAATATGGCCTCTTGGCAGAACTTAATGGAAGCCAGCAGGCAGGGGATTCTCAGTGTGTCCCCCAGAGTGTCATCGGGTGCCTTCTAGCACTGATGAGATGCTGCAGAGGCATCAGAGAACCACCACACACCTCTCTGGGAGGTGCAGACAGGAGCTAGCAGAAAACACACACACACACACACACACACACACGTATGAATTTTAGTTGTAGATGGACACAGTACCTTTATCTTATTTATTTTTATGTGGTGCTGAGGATTGAACCTAGCGCCTTGCATGATAGGCAAGTGCTCTACTACTGAGCCACAACCCCAGCCCCGATTTCTTTCTTTTAAATAATGGGCTGGTCCCCACTTTTCCAATATTTTCCGAATATTTCCTTCTTTGCTCTTCTAGCTGCTTTCCAAATGATTAATGCTTGCAAATATCATTTGTCACTTCCAAATCAGAACTTCTCATCCCTCTACTTGAATTCTTGTGGATATCTTGTCTCCAGAAAACCTTCCTACTGTTTTCTTTCCTCATCTTAACCAACCCTACTGTCAAACACACTCGAGAAAGACAAGCCATTTATTTATTCAAAAAATAACCAGCCAAAAAACACCACTTTCAGAAACTTAAAAATACGCCAACATGAGTGCTTGTTTCTTGTGTGAAGCAAAGGGTCTTACTGTATGTCGTTTGCTGTTGAGTAGTTTTCTGACTTTTGTGAAGGTCAAGGGCTTCCCCGCTTAGAGGAAAGAAAGCGCTCTGCTCAAGACCTGAGCCCTGAGATAGAAGCAGCACCTTCTACCCCCTGCAAACCCAGGTTGGTTCTGCTTGGGGTGTCATTTAGCCATTGTTACTTAGGCTCCTAAAATGGATCTGATCCCTTTCTTCACACCTCTTAATGGTTTCCACTGCTCTCAGAATGAAAGCCAAACTCCAAAGCTGCCTGAGCTGACCCCACCTGTCCTGCTCACATCTTCCATGCTTCCTTCCTTACTGAGCTCCCTTAACACTGGCCTGTTCCTCAAATTGCCAAGGCATGTTCCTCCTGGGGGTATCCTCCAGGCTATCTTGTTCAGAAAACTCATCATGTGCCAGCTTTTTGCACCAGATCTGAGCACAAATACCACTTTTCAGAAAAGCCACTCTGTCACCCTGTTTTGTTTTCCTCATAGCACTTACCACTGGAGATGTTTTTACTTTTTTTAAAAAATATTTTTTAGTTGTACACAATACCTTTTATTTTTGTTTATTTTTTTAATGAGGACCTTCCATATTTAAATGTATTTTTTTTTTTAGAGAGGGAGGGGAAGAGAGAATTCTTTTTTTTTTTTTAAATAAAGGGAGAGAGAGAGAGAGAGAGAATTTTAATATTTATTTTTTAGTTATCGGCTGACACAACATCTTTGTTTGTATGTGGTGCTGAGGATCGAACCCGGGCCGCACGCATGCCAGGCGAGCGCGCTACCGCTTGAGCCACATCCCCAGCCCCGAGAATTCTTAATATTTATAGTTTTCAGCAGACACAACATCTTTGTTTGTATGTGGTGCTGAGGGTCGAACCCAGGCCTCGCACGCACGTGCTAGGTGAGAGCTCTACCGTTGAGCCACAACCCCAGCCCAACTTTTCTTTTTTTTTTTAAAAGACATATTTTAATCATCAATGGACTTTTATTTTATGCATTCATATGCCTTGCTAAGAATCGAACCCAGTGCTGGGCAAGTGTTCTACCACTGCATTACAACCCCAGCCCATGCTTTTACTTTTAAATGTGCCTCGGAACAGAAAGTAAGAGCCAGGAGAGCAGGGACCCTGGGCTGTATTCTTTTGCCTAGTGTTGGCCGACATGTAGTCATCCCTCAGTATCCATGGATCCCACATCCATTGCTTCACCCAAACTTGGACAGAAAACATTCAGAAAAATAAACAAAAAGACTTTTTTCTGTCTTTTTCCCCAAACAAGACAGCATAACAAGCACTTGCAGAGCATGTACATTTTATTGGTATTGTAAGTGCTCTGGAGACGACTTAAAATACTGTACGAGGGAGGATGAGGGACTCGAGCTTCTACAGAGAATGCGGGTGTGTGTGTGTCCTGGAACCAATCCCCCGCAGATACTGAGGGACAACTGTATTGTGTGCTCCTTTATCGAGGCCAGGACTGGAGGTCACGATGGTAAAGAAGGCACTAAAACTACACATGCTCCAAACCAAACCACTGCCAAATTTGCTCGGCTCACGGGCTCCCGGCAGAGTAAGGAACCCATCTTTCTTCCACCCATTCCACCTCACATCAGCAAGTGCTCGTGGCTGTTGTCCCAATCAGATCTCAATTCCTACCACCACCCATGACCCCTCCACCAGGCTCTTAAAGACCTCCCCAGCACAAGTCCGTGGGGTCAGCGCGCCCTGCCCTTCCGTCCGGCTGGGTGGGCCGCAGGGAGCTGGCCTCCTAGCGCTTGCCTGGGAGGACCTGGTGTCTCCGTTTCCACCCTTACGCTCCCGCCCGTTCACAACCAGTAGCCAAAGGGATCTTTTCAAAACCTAAGACTCGGCCCACCGATTCTTCTTCCTCGGCGACCCGCTGTTCCTAAACACAGTGCACCCGGCGCGGCTCCGGCTCCCCACTGTGGGCTCCCTAGGCCTCCCTGGGCGGCAAGTCCCGGCGGGCCTCAGGGCCTCTGCACCTGTTTCCTGGGAAAGCGTTTCTCTTTCCTGTCACCCTAGTGCTCGCTGGCTCACCGATACATGCCTTCGTCTTCCTTCAGGTGCTGCCTACCACAAACGAGCACATGTGCACATGCGCCGTCCTCACTTGACCACGTGGCCGGGAGGTGTCGCCTCCCGCCGCACCCCAGGACGGCGCGGTGGCTCTGCGCAGGCGCGGTGCATCACGAGCCGCCCGCTCCGACTACAACTCCCAGAGACTACAACTCCCAGCGGGCAGCGGGGCGCTGGCTCGCGCAGGCCGCCGTGTTGGGCGGCAGCGGAAAGATGGCGGACGTGGCCGTGGGCAAGGACAAGTGCGGGGAGCAGCGGCTCGTGTCGCTGCCCCTGTCCCGCATCCGGGTCATCATGAAGAGCTCCCCCGAGGTGTCCAGCATCAACCAGGAAGCACTGGTGCTCACGGCCAAAGCCACGGTGAGGCGGAGTGAGGGGCGGGCGCCCTTAACCGTCCGCCCCGCTGGGCCCCACGGCACTTCCGGGTCTCCTGCGGCCTCGGTCTCTCGCACCCCGCTTCCTGCCCTCGCCAGCGCGCGCTCCAGCGCCCGAGCTGTCCCGCCATTCCTTGCGTGCCCTCACCACGCCCCCGGCCCTCCTGCTCGCCGCACCCCCTTCCGGTCCCATCGTGCCCTGCGCTCCTGCCGTCCCTCCCCCGCCGCGCCCTGCGTTCCCGCGCCCTCCACCGTTCCCCCGTCCCTGCGTGCCTAGAGTTGAACGTGCGGACCGTCGCGGGTGTCCACCACCCCTTGTCCCGGCCGCAAAGACTTGGGTCAGAGGCAGCCCCCAAGGCTCTCCTTGTCCACGCCTAGGCGAGAGGGTCGGATCGGCGACGTGTGCGGCCCCCCCCGCCCCTCCTGGGCCCTGAGCGACTTGTGTCGACGAGCGCGGACCACAGCCTTCCCGTTCCCAGGCTGGGTCGCGTTTAAGTCACACGGCTAATTGCTTCAACTTTCTTAGGCGGCTTCCAGCCCCACTAACTCAGTGCGTGGTGTTTGGCGGTGAAGGTGGGCTGGGGGCGAGGAAGCGGAGGTCGGGGTTTTCCCCGTCGTGCCAGAGCTGTGCGTTTTTAGAGCCCAGCAAAATAGACATCCCTGGGTGTTCTTGTGAGGTGGCTCTCAAGATCTCCAGACATCAGAGGCCTGGGTGCTCGGCCCCTGGTAGGAAACTGTGTGGTACTCACATAAAAACAATCACCTCCTTCTGTATACTTTGAAACCTGTAAACCACAGGGCAACTGCGATTGCATGTTCCCGTGAGATCTTGGGACTTTCATGTCTTCCTGTTCAGTTTCATGGTTAGTAATAAGGAACTTAGTTATGCAGTCACCTCTGTAATTTATTACTAACTGGACTGATGGATTAAAGTCTGACCTTTGAGGAAAAAGGTCTCAGGTTGTTGATTTAAGGTGGCTTGAGGATTGTGGGTTAGTTCCCAACATAAAAGAGGTGTTTGGGCCACACAGGATATGTCTATTTTTAGCTCCGAGTGTTTGATTCTATCTTTGCACAAGGGATTCAAATAGGAAGATAAAAATGTGTTCCTAATGCACAACTGTAAGAATGGAATCCTAACTAGAACGTTATGCTACATGTATGTATATCAAAATACACTATGCTCTCATGTATATCTAAAAAGTACAACAAAACGGTGTTTATAGATGGGCATGGTGGCACTCACCTATAATCCCAGGTACTCCCAAAGCTGAAGCAGGAGAATGGCAAGTTCAAGACCAGCCTGGGCATTTCATTCAGACCCTTTCTCAAAAAGGATTAGGAGTATCAGTGTAGACCTTTGCTTGTGCAAGGCCCAGGCATTCCTAAATTGGATTAGTGTTTTTTTTGGCTGTTTTGGGAATTGAACCCAGAGCCACCTGCATGCTAGACAAGCACTCCACCCTATATAGAGTTTTTGAGTAGTCTTTTGCTACCTATTTTTACTGAAGAGATTGAGGCAGGAAGGTTGCGAGTTCAAAGCCAGCCTCAACAATGACAAGGCGCTAAGCAACTCAGTGAGACCCTGTCTCTAAATAAAATACAAAATAGGGCTGGGATGTGACTCAGTGGTCTAATGTCCCTGAGTTCAATCCCCAGTACACCCCACCCCCCACCAGAATAAAGAAAGTCCTATGATTTTAAAAGCACACTTTGACCATTTCATTTTATTTTAGGAGCTCTTTGTTCAGTACCTAGCCACCTATTCCTACAGACATGGCAGTGGAAAAGAAAAGAAAGCACTGACTTACAATGACTTAGCGAATACTGCAGAGGAATCGGACACTTTTCAGTTTCTTGCAGGTACTTAATCTCTGAAACATCTGGTTAAAGGATCCCTAATCTTTTGTTGTTGTTTTAACCCTGGTTCTGCTTGCAGTGAATTAGATCCTTTGCTGCTTTCTTCACGAGCCACAGTTTATTATGATCTGGCACAGGGAGATATTTCTAGTCCTTTATGTTTGAAGACTACACATTTTTTAAAAAAATATTTTTTAGTTATGCATGGACACAATATCTTTGTTTATTCATTTTTGTGTGGTGCTGAGGATCGAACCCAGTGCCTGACATGTGTGAGGCAAGCATTCTGCCACTGAGCCACAACCCCAGCCCCCTAAAGACTACACATGTTTGTTGCGAAATTTGTTTGTCCACCTAGAACAGTAATGAAGTCAATAAATGGGGAAGATGGTTTGCTGGGTGGACCCTCAACCCCTGCCACTGAAAGGAAACTCAAAACCAGAAACTAATGCTTGCTTCTATGGAAGAGGCCCTAGCTAAAAAAAAAAGCTCGAGTCTGCCCTTGGTCTAGCCTTGCCCATCTCAGGTAGGTTGGGCAGGGTTGCTCACAAAACCAGCACATAGAAACAGCATGGTTTACCTGGGCACGGTGGCACACACCTGTAATTCCAGAGCCTCCAGAGGCTGAGACAGTAGGATCTTGAGTTCAAAGCCAGCCTCTCAGCAAAAGCCAGGCACTAAGGAACTAAGTGAGACCCTGTCTCTAAGTATACAAAATAGGGTTGGGGATGTGGCTCAGGGGTTGAGCGTCCTGATCCAATCCCCAGTTACTGCTCCCCCCTACCAAAAGAAAAAAGAAAAACAGCATGGTTTGCTGCTGGTGGAGTGGGAGCAGGTCTGTAGCATTGCTAGTTTCCCTGATGATTTATTTCATCTTGTTTTGGAAACTGTTCCAGAGGTCAAAATAGGAACCAGTTTCTTTGATTTCAGTTTGTACTATTCATAGTTTATCATAACCAGTTGCTGATGTCAGCTTTATGTTTTTAAGATATATTACCAAAGAAGATTTTAGCTAGTAAGTACCTGAAAATGCTTAAAGAGAAGAAGGAGGAGGATGAGGACGATGAAGGAAGTGACGATGATGAAGCGGAGTCCTAGACCAAGGAAGAAGGCTTCTAGAAATCACCTGGCCAGGACCCTCCTTGGTGACCCTCTTGCTCTGAAGCAATCAAATCACCATGTGGCTTTGGTTTCCCTTTCCAGAAATTTCCAGTACAGCATATTCCTTCATGACTAAAACTGATCATCTCCTGCATCTACACCATGAAGAGCTGAAGGGAAAATAGTGCAACTGCGGTCTGACAGGCCACCCTGCAGCTGAAACCACTGTCCTTTCCTTTGAACTTGCAGACAGATTCTGACAAGCTTCTGGATTAGCTGTGGATTTATGATTTATATTCTGAAATTCTTATAACAACTGGATTTAGTTTCAGCTAAATATGTAGTTTATAGTCATATGCTTCCTTTCAGTTATGTATTTTTATAAAATTTGACTATTCAAATTTTATTTTTTTATTGTAAAGAAATATACTTTTTCTTTTCTATTAAGGTCTGTACATATTTTTACAGTAATGTGCTTTGTGGAACTAGTTTTAGGACTCATTTGTTCTAATCCTTTGCTTACTACCTGAAAGTTTTGTAAAATTTAAAAGCAAGCATTTCTTTGTGGGGCTGTGGCTCATCAGTGGGATTGATTCCCAGAACCAAAAAACAAAAACCCACTTTTATTCCCAAAGGTAAACTCCCAGATTATCAAATGAAATGCAGAAATACTGCCTCTGCCTTGGTATACTGTCCTTATAACCTACATCCAGTAAAATCGCCCTTTTTGGGTTCAAGTGTATGAATTTTGACAAATGTATGGTTTGGGGGATTTTATTTAAGACAGGGTCTCATGTTGGCCAGGCTGGCCTTGAACTAGCAGCTGGAACTGTGGGCACCTACCACTGTACCAGCCACAAATGCAGATTTGTAGCCAGTCAATACACAGGATAGTTCCATCACCCAAAGGCTTACCCTGTGCTGCCTATAGTTGGTCTATCCCCTACCCTCTGTACCCTCTGGCAACAACTGACATTTCTGTGCCCCCCCCCCCCGCCCCTCCTCCCGGTACCAAGGCCACTCACCTGCTGAGCCACATCCCCAGCCCTGTTTTTATATTTTATTTAGAGACAGGTCTCACTGAGTTGCTCTGCACCTAGTTGTTGAGGCAGGCTTTGAACTTTCAATCCTTCTACCTCAGCCTCCTGAGCCACTGGGATTACAGGCATGTGCCACCACACCCAGCTCCTCATGTTTTAAGTATTTAGAAATCCACTTCTGTCGAGTAACCATCAGAGTTAGGACACAACACTTCTGTCACCCTCTGGACATTGCCCTCCTGGTCAATCCACCACTTTACCCTTGCAGCCTCTGAGCTGTTCCCAGTTGAAAACTTTCTGGAAAGGGCCGAATACAAATATTTTAAGCTTTCTGGTCTATATAATCTCTGTAGCCACTGCTCAGCTCTGTTATTATAGTAGGAAAGCAGCCATAGATAATATGTTAAATGGAAAATAATGACTATTTCTGGACCCTGAAATATGAATTTTCTGTAAATTTTCACATGTCATGAAATATTTGGATTTTCTTTAACCAGTTAAAAATGTAGGCTGGGTGTGGTGGCACATGCCTGTAATCTCCATAGCTCCAGAAGCCGAGGCAGGAGGATTCTGAGTTCAAAGCCAGCCTCAGCAACTTAGCGAGGCCCTCAGTAACTCAGTGAGACCCTGTGTCTAAATGAAACACAAAAACAGGCAGGAGATGTGGCTCAGTGGTTAAGCACCCCTGGATTCATTCCCCGGTACCAAAAAGTAAATAATTACTTTACATACTATATAAAAGGTTTCCTCCTCATCTCTACAGCCTTCTTCCTCCTATCAAAGTAATTTCATGAAGATTAACACCTTTTTTGTCATTAGTGGAAATGGAATTGAAATCCCAGACTAGATTTTTCGTTGAACCATGCAGCTTAAGAAGTAGCGTTTCCACAATGGGGAAGGTTCTCAGTTTAACATTCAAGGCCCATGAGACTGATCTCACTCTGTTGTAGAACTTTTCTCCATTGACTTTCATTTCCTGCTGATACAGGCTACTTATCCAAATAGAGCAAAAATGTCCACATGCAAGGAGTTCTTTGGAATCTTTTCCTAATTCATTTAACATTAACCATCATGCGCTGCTTTTACATTTAGGTCACTCCAATCAGATCGTGACTGCCTCTAGCCATTCAATAAATGACAGTGAACAAGAGATTTTAATAGGTCAGGCCATAGTAAGTGTATTATAGATTGTGGGGCGCCGCCCTGAAGGCCCCACACCTTCCAGTCCTGAAGCAGAAGGCTCTGACCAATCACTACATTTCTTACAGCTCAGTAAGACGGGTCTTCAGGTGTGTCACTCTGAGATTGAGTTTTACTCACCTGTCCCTTGTAACCCTGCCCCTTCTGACCTTTTTTGGATAGAACTTTCCAAATAATAAGAGTCCCCCCAATAAAAGCCCACTTCCAAACGTGCTCACTCTCGCCAGCCTCTTTCTCTTGCTCTCCCTTTTGGGGAGCTTGAGGCCGAGAGTAGAGAAGCTGTCCTGAAGCTTGTGTAAAGGTAATTTGTGTTTGTTTTATTTGGTGTCCCTGCAAACTCACTCAAGCGATCTCAAGTTCAGCTGCCTGTGCAGGTCGGGGCCGCAGAGATCTCTTATCAGTTTGAGTATTCTTTGGATTTTGACTAACATGTTCCAGGGCTGGTGGGCACAAAGGTATTTTGTGGCTTTCTTCTTTTGGGTGGTACTGGGATTGAACCAAGGGGTGTTCCACTACTGGGCTATACCGCCAGGCCATTTTGAGACAGGATCTGACTAAGTTGTCCATGCTAGACTTGAACTTGTGATCCTCCTGCCACAATCTCCCAAGTTGCTGGGGTTACAGGTATATACCACCATGCCCAGATGTAGTTTTTTTACATTTAAGTAGTAGTAGTACAGGGTTCTAGATACGTTAAGAAATCTCTACATCGACTTTGTTAAAAAAAATAAATAAATAGAAAAGAAAAAGGAGACCAGAATGTCAAAAGTAATAATTAATTCAATAATGGATTATGGTAACTTAAATGACAAGACATGGATGGCCTGTGGGCTGGGGCCTGGGCTCAGAGGTGGAGCACTTGTCTGGTACATGTAAAGCCCTGGATTTGATCCTCAGCACGACATAAAAAAAGGTCTAAAATAAAGTCTACCCACAACTAAAAAACAAACAAAAAAAGCCCACAAACCCAGTGGCCTGCTTTAGCAAAGCATATATCCTAGGGATTTCCAGCTGTTGGCTTTCTTAATCCAATCCTCTTTTCCTTTCCTAGCACCACCTATTCTTCAGTATAGATAGAAGAAGTCAGAAACAGCCCAGAATGAGACCACCAGGAATTTCAGCGCAGCACGGAGGTGTGTGAACCGCCAGGGTGAGGGGTAAAGGGACTTACCAGTAAGAAACAAGGACAGTTTGGGCCCCTTCACTTTGTCCTTCCTCCCTGGCTGCTGGTGTGGGACCACGTAGGTCTCCTGCATGCTGCGTTCACCCTCAGTCCTGTCCCGCTCGTCCCTAGACTCAGGTCCTCAGGTAATGCTTGGCTCTGTTGAGTCCATTTTTTAAGGAAGAGCCCCCACAAGCTGTGTAAGAGGGCTCTGGACTTCCTCCCTCAAGGCCTGCTTCGACCTTGGAAATCAGATTCAGCACCTGTGCGCATGGCAGCACCCAAAGACAGACTTCGTGAGTAATTGGAGATTGTTGGAAGAGGCAGCTGTAAATACGAGGAATTTTATTTAATTTTTGCTGACATACTATGAGGCAAAACAAAATCGACACCATACAAAATAACTTTATAAAATATCATTCACATCATATTTTATCAGATTTACAGCATTCTGTGCATGTTAGGGGTTATGTAAGGAGGTGAAAAAACACTATGCCAAACTTTTAATATTAGTTTATATACACACAGTAAGAAACAAAACAAGTAACTGTTAGGTTTTCCATGAATTTATTGCAAAAATAGTGCAAACTACTTAACCTAGTAAGCTGTAAAAACAAACTTGAAAGGACCCAGCTAAGCTTAAACACAACAGGTGCTCAGTGTCTCAGCATTTAGCTTTCTTCACCAGTTTGTCTTGTCCATCCAGACCACCCCCACCAGTTCAGCCTGGGGTGAGTGCAGGGGAATGAAGAAAGGCGCAGGCTGGCTCCTCAGAGGCCAGGCCGACCGGCTGCTGCCACCAGCAGCACTGTAGGGTCACGCACTTACCCAATGGCGACTCTGTGAGGTCTGTGTTGAAAAACTAAAATGCCATGGTTTTCAACTTTGAGCTTAGAAATAAGGTCTCCAGCCTCTGATGACATGGAGAAGGGAATCGAGAGCAGCATGAACAGAAAGGATCCGCCACATTGCTGTCTGCCATGAACGTCGCACCCTTTCCTCAGGAGTGTCTGGGTACGGTACTCTAATGCAGGGCAACCTCTGAATCAGACATTGCAGTACGTTAAAAAGGGATATACTATACCTCGACAAGAGAAACTTTGAATTTTCTTTCAACAGTCTATTGGGGTCCAAAAAGCACTTATCTAAACAAAATAACCAAAGCAAGACAAAATGCTACATGTAAAAGCTAAAGAAATAAAATGCAGCATATGCAGGTTCTTTTTCTTGAGGTACCTATATAGATTTTAATCACCCCCCCACCCCCGCCCCAAAGTACTCTTGTTAGGGGAAAACAAAATGCTTCCTGGCGAGCCAATTGTAGGGCATTTATTATTACCGAGAAAGTGCAACAACTCTGATCTTTATATGCAGCATACTAAAGGATGATTTACTCTTTATAAAATATAGCTTATGTATCAACCTGATGGAAGTTAAAAAATTAAAAAACATTTAAGCTAGAATTATTATCTTTTTTTTTTTTTGAGGTCCTACAGCAAAAAGCCTCCCAAATCAACTTTCAAAGTTTTGCCACTAAGGAATGTTGGTTCTCTTGTAAAATTCAGAGATCTCCTTAAAATAGTAAAACTATATACTACAGGAAAGATCCCTAACTTTTATTTCTTATTGTTATAAAATCAAATTCTTAAGACTCCAAAATATTGTGTTACCTCCAAAGAATTAAAAAAGATTGCCATAGTAGGAAAAGTCTAGAATTGTAAACTGCCAAATATAAAAGTGGAAAGTCATCGATCTCCTATCTGATTTTCTTACTCATCAGGAAGCCTTCCTAACTTTGGAAACCTGCCTCCAGACAGCTGTGAGCCCACCCTTCCTCTGCTCCTGGTCATCAGCACCTGCACTGGGTGGGCCAGGAGATGGACCAGCAGCAGTCCATCTGCTGCTCATGAAGAAGCTCTTAGAGAATTCGCCAGAGGAAGAGGGGCATGAATGGCTACACAGCGATGAAGAAAGTACTTATGTTTTTTTTGGCCGCCCCTTCATTGGCACAGAAAATGAAGTGATAGCTTTAAATATATGCATAGAAGAATTTGGAATTTTTTAAATGGTAAATTTGCTTTTTTTTTTCCCCCCTTCCACAAGAGGGTAGTTGGGATTCTGATGTACTGCAGCAGTTGGCTGGGAATCTATCAAATTCCATGGCCAATTGGGCTCTTCTCCCCATCTGCAATGTAATTCTATACTGATTTTTCAAATGCATTAGGGTTCAACATAAAAGGCACAAAATAAATAAAAATATTATTAAATAAACGGAAACTGTGATTTCAAGTTTCATGTGGAGTCAACATCTCACTGTTTGGTTACTTTTTCCAATTTAAT